TTGCTTCCAGCCCCCTTAGAGTTAAAACTCACTGATCTCTTGTGCATATTGTACCTAGCTGTTAGTGGTTCCCAAGCGCAGCCATGTTTCCAAATACGTGCTGGGCGCTATAAATTATCCTGTTCAGAGCAAGGGGTCGAGTTTCTTTATTTCGGCACGTAACGGCTATGAATGTCAGCAGAAATCATCCCTTTGGGATGCTACTTCGCCATGCCCACTGCTAAAGGCATGCAGACACAGAATGGTTTAAATAAATCTACAGACCCGAGTGACACAGCTCTGTTACTTTATGGCATGAATCTATCCATTACACTAGTTACTTCTGATTTACTCAGCTCTGAGGCCCTGCTTGCACTTTAGTTAACAGTTCTCACAGCAGTTCTTTGTAAATCCTCATTTGGGAGCTACAAATATCTGAGCTGGACTGGACTGGATCACGTGCACTGTAGGGTGGGAATTTGGCTGGATCAAGTTCAACGTGCACGTTTCCAAATAAGAAACAACCCAGAGCAGTTTGGTTGTTTACTTGCTCCAGGCAGACTAGAACTAAATGTTTTGAAATGTTGTAGCTGAAATGGGTTTGCCAGAATCTACTTTATGGGAATTTAATCCCCATCTCTGCGCACGTCTGGGTCCCTTCTGGGCCTCTAAGCCTTTGAGATACTCTCGCTGGTGGTCTCTTGGGCTTTTGAAATCTGCAGGTGATCGTTTCCATTTGCTTTGACCTTTTGTTGATGCTCAAACTGCAGGGCCCTGTGGATTCCTGTCTTCCCTCTCCTGGGTACGCCCATTCATCAGCGTGAATAGCGGGAGGGACGCAGGCTTGCTACATTCTCATTTGACTTGATTAAACAGTGTCTGTCCGTAGAATTTATAGCCCATTTGTATTAAGGGCCTGTCCATCAATTCCGTGGGAAGGGTCATTTGCAAAATGAACAGCCTTTGCTATGAATATTTACGAGCCGCTTGAGGATAGCGTTTGCTAGACTGGAACATAAGCAATATTCCTGGGCCTGCCAGCTCAGGGCTTGTCCCCCGATGTGCTAAACTGTCCTCCCTCACTGAGGTGAACCCAATGAGAGCCAAAAGCACTGAGCTTTTTACAAGATCAGCCTCCCCTCCCTCGCCCCCTCCTCCCCGCAGTCTTCACTCAGACAAAATTCCCACTGAAGTCAATGAGAGTTTTGCCTTGGTATGGGCTGCAGAATTGGGCCCAATGTGTATCGCAAACAGGTCGTTTCATTCTAGAGAGGTCCATGTCTTTGCATGATTGCTGCATTCTTTGGGTATTGTCCCTCAGCTTTTTAAGGTCTGCACAACAGAGCTTTGTTAACACAAACACAGAGGCTATGTCTAGACTGGCATGATTTTCCGCAAATGCTTTTAACGAAAAAGTTTTCCGTTAAAAGCATTTGCGGAAAAGAGCGTCTAGATTGGCACGGATGCTTTTGTGCAAAAAGTGCTTTTGCGGAAAAGCGTCCATGCCAATCTGGACGCGCTTTTGTGCAAAAAAGCCCCGATCGCCATTTTCGCGATCGGGGTTTTTTGCACAAAACAAATCTGAGCTGTCTACACTGGCCCTTTTGCACAAAAGGACTTTTGCCCGAATGGGAGCAGCATAGTATTTCCGCAAGAAGCACTGATCTCTTACATGAGATCGTCAGTGTTCTTGCAGAAATTCAAGCGGCCAGTGTAGACAGCTGGCAAGTTTTTCCGCAAAAGCAGGTGCTTTTGCGGAAAAACTTGCCGTTCTAGACACAGCCAGAGTGAACAGGTAGCTTTGATCTTTTAGGGCATGATTCATTGCCCATTGAAGAGCGTTTTCCGCTGATTTCGGTGGACGGTGGACCAGGTTCTTATTCAGAGGAGCAAATTCTGTTCCTATTTATACCAGTGTAAATCTGCAGTAACTTTTGTAGCCAATGGGGAAACTCCACCCTCACACCAATGTAAGATGCTTCGTTTTACATCCTTCCAAACCTGTAGTTCTGTAACTGTTAAAAAGCCTTAATTTGATTGTTCTATGCACTATATTGGTACTGGTTCCTCCAGGGGCATCCCTCACATACGCACCTTGTGGGGCTAGTCTGTGGTGCCTTGCTGGGGATGCTCCCCAAGTCTCTTCTTGCTGATCTACTAGCCTGCCCGTTCTCCCCTTGCTCCCCTGCTAGTCTGGCCCCACTTCTCACCCCAGCGATACGAACTGAGCGCTGTGATAAGAGTCCCTTGTAGCTAAGACTCCGGTGCTTATACAAAACTCACTCTAGCGGGTTACCTGGGCTCAGTGAAGAGTTGTAAATAACTAAAAAAAATCAGCTTTTGCGGTCAAAAGAAGTAACGTGCATTTTGCCAAGCAGGATCCTAGAACTGCTATTGCTCTGCTGTTGGCTTCCTTGCTACCGATCGATGCTGCCTGCCCTTACTCTCACAAGTAACGAACAACAGCCAGTGGGCTGGTGGGCTGAGTAAGGCTTGCAGGATCAGGCCTGGGGGAGGAGGGGGCTTTCTGAGTTTGGAAATGCAGTGTGGGTCTCACGGTCAGTAGCACGGGTTAAGAGGCATCTGCTAATCTCTGCCAGTGTAAGATTCTTGATTTTGCTGGCATAGGGGAAGCGATTCATTTATGGCAGGTGGGTTTTGCACTGAAATGGGAGAGAGAAAATATTTCAGGAGCAGATTCTGCGTAGAGGGGTCCAGAATTTTGCAGTCAGGCTAAGAGCATCGTCCAGCACAGAAACCAAGCATCAGACAGGCTGCTCACCCCTCCACTCCCAGACCGTCATGTGGAGGGAACTCCGCAGGTAGAGCTGCCTCTTCCAAAAGGAGGATGCGCCTCGAACCCCCAGAGTTGTGCACAAGGAGCAAGCAGCCAGAGAGGAGAGGACGGCACCTTGGCTCAGATCTTCAAAGGGCTACCGGCACCACACATGCACTGTTGGCAGTGGAAGTTAGATGCTAAATGCCCTTGAGGAGCTGAGCCCTTGTCATGCTGTCAAGGAGGTGCAGCAGGAGGCCTGCAGACAGGGGAAGGACAAAAGGGACAATTACCCAGGGCCTAGCGATTCATAGGGGCCTGGAGCTCTCAGCTGCCCTTCTCACGGCTCTGAGGGCTGGAAGGGGACGCATCATGGACTGACTGCCCTTGGCCCTGCCCTTCCACTCAAGGCTCTGCCCTGTCCTGGGGCACAGAGCCACACCCCCTCACCTACCTTGCCCCAGGGCCCATGGTGGCTGTCGGCCCCGCTGTGCGCACACACGGCCATCCAAGCTGTTTCAAACACCCCCCGACCTTCCTGGAAAGCGCTGGTAGATTTCCTTAGCTGGCCCCAACCGCAGGGAGGGTCAGGCGCTGAATCAGCGAGCGAACTCTCCCAGAAGGGTTTGCATCAAGACGGTCTGTGACAGAGCTGGCTCCTTGCTGACCTCAGCTGACCCTGAAAGATGCCAGGCGCCCTTTCATTCCCCTCCAGTAGGAGTCCAAAGCTCTCAGCACCTCACTGGATCAGGTGACACTTTTTGGTTCACCGAATCCATTATCTCAGATGGGGGCTTATAGTAGGCTCTACATACACACTAATTCCTGGTACCACATCCCGGAAGCTTGTGTGGAGTCAGTTGCACAATAAACGGCCACACTGAGTCAGGCTAAAGGTCCATCCAGCTCAGTGTCCTGTCTGAGAGTGGCCAATGCCAGGTGCCCCAGAGGGAATGAACAGAACAGGGAATTATCAAGTGACAAAGTATTTCATAGTAATGGAAACAAATAGCAGAGACATATTTGTAAAGGGGAAGAGATGTCTTTTGTTGTCTGTTTATTTCTTAACCTGAATTTCTCTTTTTGTCTCCCATATTAGACAGCGGGGGCAACTGGGAATTCAGATATTTTGCAAGTCCCACCGTTGCACCGGGCGTGTTTCATAGATCCCAGGATCTGCCTTTGTACTGTAAACCAGCACAAGAAAATGCCTCATCTTTCATTGCATCGCTCTAGTTCTAAATTAATGGCAGTGCCCGGCAGCAGGACTGCACACAGCAGCAATGGCACGTTATTGAAAGTCAATGTTAAGACTTATTTCTTCTCTTTTTTATTATTATTATTCTTTCTTTAATAGCACGACTGGCACAAAAATTCGCAGCCAGTTTCAGGATTGGATAGTTCCTGGTAGCTTCCTTATCTCATGCCAACCTTTCTCTCCTTTTATAATTTTGCTTGACTTACAATCGGATGTATTTATTTCGTACTGGGGGAAAGGAATGACCAGTGTTTACAGCATCCACACCAAAAAAAAAACAAAAACAAAAACACCACAACACCACCCAAGAGACATAAAATGGGCTTCATCCCACTGCAGAATCTGAATTTCTCTTGAGACGAGGGCTCTCTCCCCTACTGATTTTTTATCAGATGGAAACATTAAGAAATCTAACCCTTCCAGTGCTGGATGGCCCCTGAAATTACATCTGACAGAGGACCACTAACCACTTTGATTGATGCAGTTCTAGGGCTGCTGGAAAAATTAATTTTCAAGCATACAGCATTTGATGTTTTTTGCCACTCAGGATACTAACCCCATAGCGCCTCTCGCATACCAAATATCAACAGTAATGGCAACTTTCAAAGCTGGCTCAGAGCAAACCTGTGCATGTTTCCCTGGGTCTGGGCATCTAAAGAAGGGGTGACTTTAGCACTTGGATCCTTGAAGGGTATGGGGGAGAGGGGGCTGGGAAAAGTCACCAAACTGCATTAGACCCTTTCACAGAAAACACCTTGGTACAAAGTGAGGTTTTCCTACTAAATGTTGGGGAGATGGATTGTGGCTGAGTTTGGATAAAGGGATGACTGATAGATGCAATGCTTCTGATGTACCCAAAAAGTGTAAGCGATGGCTTTTTGTGCTAGATGGCTCAAGGATTAAAGTTCTCCCCACTCACTGCAGAGGTTCAGTTGTAGCCAACGTCCATATCAGACCTAAGAAACCTACTCTGTTCTTGTCTTGCAGAGTATATGAAAGAATCTGTCTGCAGCTCAAGCACCTGTTCTCTGAACAGCAGTGAAAACCCATATGCCACCATTAAGGATCCACCCATCTCGACATGTAAACACTCGGAGAGCAGTTATGTGGAAATGAAATCACCCATTCACAGGGATTCACCCTATTCACAAATGCCCACTGCATCAAAGACTAATAAAAATATCTATGAAGTTGGTAAGTGTCCTAGATTGCCAAAGAAGCTCCGTAGCGCCACAGAAGCAAACATTAGTTTGAGTAGTATTGTCTCTCGAGTTTCCCATTGGGGCAGAAGTCTTTGGGATTTGGCAGAATCAAGCGACAACTGTGGTTTATGGGACGGGGAATGAAATGATTTTGCTAGCGAGGGTCCCAAGCTTGGGATCAAAGAAGAAGCCAACCCATCGGCATGTTTGCTTGTTTTTAAACTGTTTTGAGTGTCAAATCCAGTTGCAAGATTAAAAAAGAAAAGGCAGATCCTTTGAAAGTGTTCTTTGCTGTCCCCTTGGAACAAAGCCCCCAGTGGCAAAAAGAGTTTGGAAAGGATTTGCTTTTATGCATGTGTTCAAACGAGCATATAAAGCTCTGACAATCGGAGCTGGCCACCTGTTAGTGATTGTAACCCATGTTTCATTGTATCTTCAGAGCCCACTGTCAGTGTGGTCCAAGAAGCCCGTGGTCGTAGTGCTAACTACAGCCAGAATCCGTATGACCTGCCTAGGAACAGCCACATTCCTGGTCATTACGACCTTCTCCCTGTAAGACACAGCCCTACCCATGGGGCATCTTGGGACAAGCAATCTTAAAGGGATACGCTTCGCTGTCGCAATGTGCTGCGAACATTATCTCTGACTATACAAAAGAAACGAAGACAATCCTTTTTGGTTTTGCAATACACTGACGTGACTTGAAATAGTATTACACAAGGATTCTAACTTACCAGAACATCCATTTGGGCCAACTGCTGCTGCATGATATTTAAAGATATGTTTTTTATAACAATCACAGAAAATTAAAAAACCAACACCTCCATCTGGCTGGGATAGTTACTCCAGAAAGCAGTTTATATATTCCAGTCAAAGACTCTGCAGAGTTCGCTGAGCTGTGAAGTAAAAACAACCCCCCAACTGTAAGTCCTTAGAGCTACGGATGTACATTTCTACCACCCACTTAGAGAGACCTTTACTGTTAGAGACAACATGTCTAAAAGGATGCTGGAGTCTATTTTACATACACATCATGGAAAAGGATACACTCAACAAACAAGCAAGCCAGGAAAGACTGCTGTCAAATGCAGCTGATATAGTTTGTAAACCATGGCTCATGCTATCATCATATCCATGTTGTGTACATGTCAGTTTTATTCTTGGTAACTAGTTTTGCAATAAGTTCCTGTCTAGACAGGCTGCCGCAGTATTTTAGTAGAAAAATATTACATGCACACAGTCAGTGGTTAGTCTCAGTGCCTCATGCTCATTTTACACGATGTAAATCTTCACACATCTCCAGTGATCTTTAACTATAGAACTCATCTAAACAGTGTGTCTCATGTCCAGCATATATAAGAACGTCCAACAATGGCCAGCGGCAGATGCAGCAGAGGGAGTGAACAGAAAAGGGCAATCAAGTGATCCATCCCCTGCTGACCAGGCCTAGCATCTGGCAGTCAGATGCTTAGAGAGACATTTTTAACAAACTGTAGGACCCTTTGATTGTAGATGTGTTTTATTTGGCCTTGTATAGATGCTACTTTATTAGCTACAGGGGCCCAGACGGTCATCTGGCATGTAGCTTCAGTGACTTCAACAGAGCTATGCAGATTTACAGTAGCTAAGTTGCTGTCAGTGTTTCAAAAATCTAGCCCTGTTTCTGTTCTGCACCCAAACCAATGGTTTCTAAGCTACCATGTGGCTTCTAGGTCATCTTTACAAGCCAATCTATCATAGCTAAATTAATGACATGCCATTGCTAATAAATACTTTAATTTCATTTGCATTACCATGCTGTGCAACTTTATCCATCACAAAGTCTACCTGAAATGTCATTAATCTGAGCTGTGACCAGATGTCCTTTTTCAACAGCTGTTTGTGGAATAATCGCTAAGAGGTACACCTGTGGTATGGCTTTGGAACAAGCCTCCCAGATTATTTTTTGTAGCCCTTCTTGACATAGACAGTAGAATACGTGCTATTAAGCAGTTTCTTGTATATCTTGAGCATGAAGTAGTATTGATTCTAAGTATGTAATTTTATTAAGCAACTGTGGGAGTAGCAAATGGATTGCGTCTTAAATATAAAGTCTGTTGCGCTTTTGCTGTTCTGATGGAACCATAAGAGAAAGAAAATCAACTGAGATCAGTTTGTTAAAGCATGAATTGATTGGTAAAAAACACTGATGCAGAACCTTTCACTTCTAGCTCGCTGGCTGGAATCGGGCTCCAGCTAGAGCCATTACTAGTGGTTGACAGACCTACGCAACGTTAACTGGTGGGGGCTAGTCTAGTTCCTAGCAAACAGGAGTTTGTCATGTGGAAAAGCCCCTTGCACTTTGAACCCTTGACGGTACTTGCCAAGAGGCCAGGAGCTGAATGTGCTATGGAGACTGGGAGTGAGGTCTAGTGCCAGGGCAGTGCAAAGAAGCCTGCACTAATAGTGACCCAGCCTTTGCTGTACTTTGTGCATCTCTACTATCAAGCCGGCAACGTATACTACATTCTCTTGGCTAGGGGCAGGGAAAAGCCCTGACAGTATTCCATTAAAAAATCTGGAATTTTTCATGGGCAGGGAGCAGGGCAGGCAACTGCTGCAGTTTGAACTGAATTCGCTCCAGAGAAATCTTTCCCCAGAGGGTTATAAAGAAGCTGGTTTTCACGTTGCAAGGAATACATAACTATTTACACGAATGCTGCATGTATGCATGGAGGCAAATGATTGATCAGCAATAGTAATTTTGCTTTCCAGACAAGCCTTATTCAAGATGTAACTAGACAAGTGTTTTTTTTTAATTAGGGCCATGTAGGGATATATTTTACGTAGCATATAGAAAGACTTACCTCAGAAATATCAATAAAAAGGCAGTTAACTATGTAAAGCTACTGTTAGAGACTTACCACACATCTAGCACTAGCACAAGCCGTCTAAGCTGCAATCCTAACCAATGTAGATGTTGTGTTTCTGTACAATACGAGATGGGACTTGAGAGCGCAGTGAGATGCTTGATTTTTTTTTTTTTTTCAAAGCTTGATTTCCAAGCCAAATGAAACGATGTGCTTAGAGTTTAGCAGGAGCGAAAAAATACCTTCTTGTACATTACTTTAGAAAATAGACACTGAAATGGCAATACTTTTTTAAAGCAAGACAGATTTGTAATATATTTGTTCACTGTGCTAAGGTGCTCTACCTTGTACAAAATAAACAGTTTCTCTCAATGTGGACTTCTCCCATGTTACTCAGTCGCAGCCTCGACCACGGTAGAAGCATGAACATTTCCCATATCACAGGGCTGGTTAACAAAGGGCTTACATTTGCCTACCCAAACAACTGACAGCATGCATGCCAATGGGCAGCTTGACGAGTGTATTTCAACAGTTCTGAGATGGCATCTCAACCCCAAAATGAAATCAGAGCGTAATTCCTGAGCCAGGGGCTAATCACATCCTAGCTTTAAAGCAAACTATTGGTAACTGGTAAGTACCTTTTCATCAGTTGCTTGGCAACTCTTACTTCCCCATCAGTTAAACGTGCATGAGCAAAATGGAGCATCCGGAGCACCAGAACAGTACAAACACTGACCCAGCTTATGCACAGCTGTAAATGCATAAGAGCAAGGGCATGCCCCTATCTGGTCCTTTGTGCTTTTTATGTAGTAAGTAGAGGTTGCTATCCTGTAATACGTTACTGTACACAGCTGTGTACCCACAAATTGACTTCAATGCCACTGACCTCAGCCAGTTCACTGTAGCCCATCTCTATGTTGTACACTGCAGTGTCAGGGCCTAATCTATCATATGCCTTAATGCTGATCAGTAAATTACAAGGTAAACTATGCAGCAGCAGCAGCAGCTACAGAATTAAAGTGCTCTCTATGGCAGTATAGTGAACCACTAAACTGAGCCCTTTTTCAATGTTTGCAATTCAAAATTTCTGCCCCCAAAAATCTTGTTAAAGCCACACGTATAATCTTCTTTGTCAAACTCCACTTACTATTCAACTCTGGAAATCCATCAGATTTAAAACAGCTGAAAGTAGCTATACTCAGAAGTCTCTACAACTCCTAATTCTGCACCCTTTCTCTCAAGCTTAAAAGCACTGCCACAACTAAAAGGCAAAAATACTGATGCTTGCAATATGCGTATATAATTGCTAAGGTTTGGACTTTCAAAAAAAAGTGTGTAAGGAAAGGCATCTGCTACATAAATCCCATTTCATAATTTAATAGGAATGTTAAAGACCGCACAAAAGCTCATGCAGGCACCCAAGAGCTGTGTGTATTATCATCAAAAGTCACCTATAGGGGAGAGCTGATTCCATGTATAAGCAAAGCCAATTACATTGTGGGAGCAATTTGTAATGGAAGGGTAGTACAGTCCCTGCTGGGTCATTTATTCTTCACTGGCTGAAAAAGAAGCAGGACACCTAGTGAATACATCAAGGGACTTTCTGCAGCACCTTTTGTAGTCTTTGAAGATCTACCCAGCTGAGTAACGGGACCAGCTCTACTTAACAGGCAAAGGACAAGGACAAAGGATCAGAGCTTTCCATGGTGCCACATATTTGGACAAAACATATTGCATGGAAAGGAACGAGCAAAAACTAGGAATGGGTAAGGAATCCCAGCTGTAGTATTAAAAACAAACAGGTTTCCTTTTGCTAAATTACCTCTTTCAAATATATCAGATTTTTCTTTACAGAGTAGTTCATGAAATAATTGCATATTGCTGCAGCCCATGAGAGTGTCTTTTCTTTCCCTGCAAGGGCTTCCACTGTAAGCCTCAAAATGTAGTTACACCTTACCCCCTGCTGTAGTTTGGTGGTGGTAGTTTCTTGCCATCAGCAAAGAACGGATACATTTTTACACAAACTGAAGGAAGAATTAGCATAGCCATTATTTCCTGGGGTAAATTGTGATGCTAGACTGTTACAACAAAAGTTTGAGGGAAAGTGAAAAGCCTTCTGGGGTTTGCCCCAGCCACGAGACTTTTGCTGTCCATATAATTGGTCATATAGTCTCAAAATTAAGCAAGTCTTGTGAGAAATACTATAAGACTACTTGAGTGGTCCGAATCTGTCAAGTCATTGGCTCAGTCCTGACTCAGAAAGACAAGTGCTACCTGTTGGATCACTTAATATTGCTTGCCACGGTGTGTTTTTCCTGGTAAGGCTCCCATCTGTTGTGACCAGGCGTGAGGCTGCTTAGAATAGTAGTCATGGTTCTTAACACTGACAGTCTTTTCCCAGTGCAAGTAAAGCTAACAAAGCACAGTCCTAAATGCAGGCTCAGAAAAATAGTTGGCTGCATGTTGCATTTCTTCACCACTGCTATTGTTAATCTTTTTGGCCATGATTGGAAAGAAAGCTTGCAGAAGCTGTTTACAAGTGAAAATAATAGAACCACTGAACAGGGCAGGGAGAGCAGCTGGCCACACAACTACTACTGGGAGTTGCCAAACAATGGTGAAACAGAGGACGTAAGGGCCTGAATTCAAAACACTTCAACATGCACAGCTGACACAAATTGGGCAGCATTGGCCCTTCCTTTTCAGTTCCTTTCATTTGTAACTTTGAAAATTCTTCCCCTCCAGTGCACATCCTTAGTGCAAACTGATGATCTGTCTTTCAGGGTACATGCTACATATGCAACTAGTGGAGTTTGTGGCAACTAATTCCCAAAAAAGTGCCCGTGACATCATCTGGAATAGTCCCCCGTAATTCTTTATTAGCGTGAATGATACTTTAAATCAAATCAACCTTAAAAAAAGAACCAAGTTACAGAACGTGCATAAAATACAAAGTAATTTACAAACAGATCCAATACCATCTCCAGAACTGATACACTAAGAGGAGAAATCTATTGAAAAAAATATGACTGACTACAGCAATGCCTTCCGTGCGCCTTACACATCATGAGCACCGCAAGACAGAAAGATTGCTAAGAAATGCAGCAATTTGTGTATGCCCACACACAGATGTTCCAAGGTGATTGTATCAGTATCTGAGGAATGTTTCCCCAAACTCCCTTTCCCCCCCCCTCACATTTTTTCATAGCTTTTTACATACTGTACACATTTTTAAGTGCCAACAATTCAAACCACTAAGAGGAGAATTCTAGGATGAGAAGGTGTTATGCGGTGCTTTCAAAAGTGTAGTGGCAGAAGGCACAGTTCATAACCGCATCATCCTTGAAGTCAACTACGCTGACTTGTATTGAAATCAGTCATTAGCCACACACTTTCAATAAGGAAGCTATTCATATTATATTAACCAATGGAATGGAGCCACTGTGGCAAGATTCCTTTATAAATTATTTTGACATCATTGAAGTTGGTGACCCAGCCTTAAGCATTTGCAAATATAAAACTACAGATACATGATACAGCAGCCTTCAAGTTTTCTTCATTGTGGAAAGGAAGAACTTTCCCATCCCCTGATACCATCAGTACCATGGAGTCCAATTCCTGGGCAACACATAGTGCTGCAAGTTCAAATATCAGAGAATAGTGAATCCATTATTTAGCTCATGTTGCTTTGTCTTATTTCACAAGAGGCACCTTGAAGGAGATTCCACCATAATCTCCCATTTCAGCCTCACAGCAGCACTGCCTAACATGACCACATTTGCACAGCTATTAGAACTCAAGAGCCCCATTGCACACAGTGAAGGCTGCAGCTTCTTTGCAAAGCAAGAATCATTTTTGCCACACTATTTAGTAAGACAACCCCACATGCCTTGGCCCCCTCAAGATGTAACCAACACATTTAGCTTTACTGTAATTTAAGAGCAATAGGTGTTTCATGAGCCATTTTTGGATGTAATGTGTAACAGCTGGAGGTGGGGAAAGATGATCTAATTTCAGTAGCCCAGGGTCACTAACAGTGACAGCAATGGTTTTGCAAGGGTCAGAATTCACACTGCTGGTCAACAAGGCATTAACATTTTGATTACAAAATGGCATTCTAGTATCCCAACTGGTGGTGGTCAGGTTGGAAAATAATCCATTGGTTTAATACATAGTTTGAAATTCTAAAGACTGGTGAGGCAGAGTTGTGAAAATGCTGCAGCCATTTGGAAGCAATAATGATTTTAACACTAAAATCAAAGTGTTAAGACATGGGAAAAATCAGAAGGAATATGAGGAAGTAATTGAACACAAAGTAGTAACCACAAGAATTACAAATATATTTAAATCTTGGACCTGGGGAATATACACAGCCTTTTTGGAAAGAAGAAACAAATCTTATATATTCTGACAGCACTGCATCTTTGGTTTGTTTTCGGTGGTTGGTGGGACATGGATGGGAACCACATTGTTGCTTGGAGACATATCATTTTCACGTCTGTCTGACATTTGCTTCTGAGAAACAATACGATAGATCTCTGGAAAACGAGAACAGGAGCCAGTTACTAGGGACATATTTTCAGTCAGCACCACCGTGAGTTACTCACGTTCAACATCTTCTGGGCTTGATACATAAATAAGTAAAGTTTGACAATACCTCCTAACAAAAGGAGAAGTACAGTTCTGTAGGTATCATGCAGGTATCTTCACCACCACATTTCCTCTATCCTGTGGAAGACGATTTGCTTTTTACCAAACTAGTTATAGTTCCCCACACCTTTGCTTTTATTGCTACTTGTTTCCTCTGGGGGGGGGGGGGGGGGGGGAGCTTTATTGCAGCCAGAAATTGCTAGCAAGAGATTTAAGCTATGAGAGACTGAAGTGCCTGGGCTAGTTCAGAGCCATATACAGCTTTTGCTCCTTATGATCATAATGCTACGGATACATTTGCAGATGCTAGCATGGCTGAATGGAGCTGTTTGGCAAACATTTGTATCTTTCTGAGAGGGCTCAGGGGGTCAACTGCTCCTTTATTGCAGCCAGAAATTGCTAGCAAGAGATTTAAGCTATGAGAGACTGAAGTGCCTGGGCTAGTTCAGAGCCATATACAGCTTTTGCTCCTTATGATCATAATGCTACGGATACATTTGCAGATGCTAGCATGGCTGAATGGAGCTGTTTGGCAAACATTTGTATCTTTCTGAGAGGGCTCAGGGGGTCAACTGCTCCTCTGCTCCAAAATCCCTTATGCCTCTCACGTCTGATGTATTTGCTGGTGGGAGAAGCAATCTTAGATTGTAAAGCATTTAGAGGTCTCCAGAGTATGGGACAAGCTTGGTTTATACCTAGATCCATGACACACACATCATGGGGAGAGTTATCAAAAGTACACCTGCCTGAATAGCATAGATCTGACTCTCAATCTACAGACAACATTTGGACGCCAAACCGAAAGAAAATAAAATGGGAATGCTCAGCTCAAATTCTTGTGCCATTCCAAGTTCCTCTGAGGTGTAGCCCTCACTCAGATTTGAAGCCTCAACACAAAGTGTCCAGTAGCTGGGGAGTGCAAAGCAGATCACAGGCATTAAGCATTTCTGCGGCTGTAGTGAGTGTATATCTCAGCTGCTCAAAGCGGAAGAAGGGACAGTATGACCATAAGCAAGCACCTGGCTTTAGAAAAGGAAAAAGCAATACCTGCATCAAAATGGAGGGGTCAGTGGAACAATCTCTTGCAAATTCTCATTCAAAAGTACAGAACTCTGCCAAGCTTTTCTTACAGAGGTGGGAAAGATTTCTGAGCTCTGCCCAAAGCTACCCTGATTTCAAGCTAGAGTCAGGTATGCCAGTTGGTACTCCCTTGTATCCTAATGGCAACACACTGCCCCAGCCAGTAGTACTGTTCCTCTAGGGCAGTGGTTCCCAACCTTTTCACTAGTGTAGACTCCCAATTACCCCCCAAACCGTTCGCAGACCCCCCCCCCCATCGAAGCCAATTCTAGCCTCAATTCTCGTAGTCGGAGTATTTTCCCACTTTTCATTTACTTATGTCTGTTTGATTAGACGTTCCACTTGTGGATGCTTCATTCTGCTCATCAGTCTCCTTTCTCTTCAGCAAGCCTGATTTCAGCCATAGATCCATGCTGAACGTATGGGCTAACGTTTGTATGCTTCTCACCAGCGTGATCATTTTATCACACAAAGGTGCCACAACATAGATTTTCAGACCACAATTAACAACATTAGAAGAAGATATTTAATTTAAAAACAGATTATAACTTTGCAATTTATTTAAAACTTATTTTCTATGAGTATTTTTTTCGCGGACCCCCAATACCCTGGTGGACCCCCAGGAGTCCACAGATCCCAGGTTGGGAACCGCTGCTCTAGGGGGAGAGGAAAACAACGAATTCCTCCCCCCAGCAGTTTGCTGCTCCACACTACTCAGTGCACCGTTCCACACAAGTTCAGATGTCAGGAGCACAAGAAACACTCGCACCTGACTTTTTCTTCTGGGGCAGAATGAGGAAAAGCAGACATCCCTCACTGCACAGAGAGCTGTGGTCCGAATTCTTTTGGGGCATCCCAGTGAGTTATTGGTATGGTTGCCGGACTGGCACCTTATTTCACCCCAAATCAAGAAATATTTCCTCCATAGCCCTTGTTAAGAATGTGAGTGATAAATTGCTTAGAGGTGAACAGCCGGACATTTCAACATAAGCAAATTGAGCAAACGTGCAGATAAGTCCAACATTTACTGCTGGGGCAGAATGCGCACAGCCCCATATCTGCATCAGTAAGTAATGGGAAGAGGGAGCTAGAAAGGGTTTCTAGCAAGTGGGGCTGGGTTGAAGAGCAGTGAAGCGGAAGGGCAGAGTTTTCAACAAGTTGTGAACAAAGTTAAGCCCCAGTAAATGCAGTCACCAAGGGACTGACCAGACAAGTCAGACCTGAAGTGCTGTCTGTCCAGCAGGAGAGCTGCATACAGCCATCAGAATGCTGACTTGCTAACCGGGCAAAGGGCCCAGCACGAGAGGTTTGTGGATAATGCCAAGAAAACCAGTATCTGCCGGTGGCACAGTGAGAGAAGAGCAGCAAGCTGGGGGTTCAGAACTGACACATCACACATCTCATTAAATACACCAGGAAGAACCAGTTCAGCTCATCTCCATTCGACACGTTCGGCTACACAAGTGAGTTGCTGATATAAGCAAAGCCAACAGTAGCCACCCACATCTAGAGGAAGGAGGTTTCTGGTTTCAGAAGTACTAAGGTTTTCAACCCTGTCTTTCCAACGCAGCCTGCAATAGCATTCACGGGCTCTCGTCCACAGGAGCAAATGGAATTTGTAAAAGGGCATCAACATCAAAGCAGCAGACTCCATTACTCCAACAGGTCCCTGCACTGAAGATCCCACTATTGCTGAGACAGCAATGCTAAGGGCCCATGCACCAAAGTGATGCATCACACCCCATCTGTAAGCCAAGACTCCATGCGCCATACCAACAGTCATGGCACTCTTGGAAAATCCTTCTTTAGATAACACATGCAGCTGTTTGTGCAACAAGACACAGTACTGCAGGGTGGATGGGGGAAGCAGTGCTCCTCAAGGAGAAGCAATTTCAGGCCAAATTTTACCGGCCACTGCCCAGTCACGTTTCCTGTACGTGTCCAGGATATCTAACCTATTACTATTTAAGAACAAGTGAATGCTGCTGCCTGTATAGTTCTAACTCACAGCAGCACTGTGGCAGTGGATAACTTTTGCAGACACCAATCGTGACAACAGTATTTTCATGCAGAAGCGTTCCTGAGCGCACGCTCTGGTGCATTAGCACTAACATCCCCGTACCCTCAGCCAGCACACCCAACCTGTTCCACAACTGTGAGCAGAGACCTGCAGCTTACCAAAAAAGCCTGGTTTCATGTCCCTGTGTCTCAGTCCTCCAGCTCCCTCACCAGTACCCAAAAATTGGATGGCGTTTCACATGAATTCCTCCGAGTGCTGAAATTTACCCTTGGCTGACAGTTATCTACAGCCTCCCCGTCACATGGTTTTATCCTGCAGCAGCAGAGACTATGAGGGCTGCACGAAGATTATCAACATCTGCAGGCCTACGCTACACAACTGGCCAGTCCCTCAGGACTGCATTTGAATGAAGATCCACAGGAGGAGAGAGATGAATGCTTTACACTGCCTTCATGCTCAGGTACACCAAGCTCTTGAACAGGAAAATTCCTAGACAGTGTGTTACTGGGGGCAAGCCCCCACAGAAGTAACATTACAAATCACTAGAGAAGCAGCCCTGAAGAAGGACAAAGCAGAAGAAAGAGGCTGATTTAGGGAGAGGGGACAGACAGTATGGTACACACTCGACCAGATTCCCTTGTGCACAAAGGCCACCATGCACTGCTCTGGCCATACAGAGGACTTTCCAGAGGATGTAGTTATAACAGATGCTCACGGTAAGGCCCCCTTGCATTGCCACACAACCCTATAGTGGGGACGCTGAGGCCTGAGTCCTTCCCTAGCCTCTGGCGTAGGGCCAGAAATAAGGGGTTTAGGAGGCCAGAGGGGTCCCCAGAGTGGGGCCAAGCAGTTTAGAGTGCAGGAACAGGCTCAGGGGTGGGCTCTGGTAGAGTGTTGGGGTGCAGGAGTAGGAGGTTCAAGGTGAGGATCCAGCCTAGAGGAGCAGGCTCTAGCCAGGCACTGCTTACCTCAAGCAGCTTCCAGTAGTGGTGCAACGGTAGGCTCCCCTGCTCCTGGAGGTTGCCGTGATGTGGTCAGGCGGGTCCAGGAAGTGCGCACTGCCCACACCAGCAGCTTCCATTGACTGTAGTTCCCTGATCCTCCATCCCAATGCCTAGGCGCTCTGGGGACAGCCTAGCATCCTAGCTTTCTCCCAGTGGGGTAAGCCAGTGCTCACGGTTCCAATGCTGCATGGGGGTTTGCGCCAGCCCTTGCCGATTAGTTAACCAGTAACACTCAGGAGAGGTGATGCTTACTGGTTAGCCAGTCACATGCCTCGTATGTGTACGTGTAAGCTGCGCGCACAGGCGGAGAATCACCCTTCCTGCACCCAGGAACACGCACATTTAAAGCGGCTCTAAAAAAGAACTGAAGGTGTGAATGGCACCGTTCTTACGGGGTGCTGGAGAACCCTGCTGTCAGCGTCCTCTGGTCCTACACATTTGAGAGAAACGGCTTGGTTAGAATACCAGGTTCAGCACCAGAGCGGTTAGCAATGCTGGGAGCCCTGCTACAGGCTGGCTGCCAGTGCTTTGAAACACCATGGCGAACCAGCTCTGTGCTGGATTGCGCAAGTGACTAGGCATGAAAAAACAGCAGCCACCGCCTATTTAGTGTCCTGCCAGCACTGCTTACACCGGCGGACCTGAAGGAGTCCACCACTTGTGTGTCACACCAGTTATTAGCCTGTTGGGTTTTATTCTGGCTCCTATAGGATTTGCTTTGAAGAATAAGTAATGCTGCACCTTCCAGCACTATTCAAAGGACATAACCCTTTGCCAGGAGTAAACTGTCCAGCAAGCAGCAATGGGTGGCAGCAATCACACGTTGAATGTCACACACTAGAAGTGACCCTCTCCTTCTACCCCCAATTATTAGCCAGCTGTGACCAATATCAAGAAGTTTACTTGCAGAACCATTCATCCTCCACACACCACTTGAAGTGTGGATGGAGGCAACCGCTTGCTAATGTATTTACTTCCCTTTATCTCCCTGAGAAGAGCTCAACTAGAACAAACCCCATGCTCTCTAATCGGTAGAAGTGTTTCCTCAAACTTGATCCAATTCCCCCCGAACAGGAACACTATCTGCATACCCGGTTGGTTTTTTAACTAAAATACTGTCATCACCATATGCAAGGAACAGCTACATTTGCTGAGTGGTGCCCGGTTGGTTTTTTAACTAAACTACTGTCATCGCCATAAGCAAGGAACAGCTACATTTGCTGAGTGGTGACCAACTTTCCCGAAGCCAGTTAGGGCAAGATTTGATTCATTTGCTCTGATCACAAAGTGCACCTCAGAAAGGAAACTTAAGCAAGGAGGTAGAACTTCCACTACTTATAATCCAAAACAACTTCTGGAATAAAAGACGCTGATAAAGGCACATAAAACCAGGCAATACAAGGTGGCTTTGAAAACAACCTTCATTCATCTATCTATTCCCGAAGAGTAAATTGCTTCCCCATGGCATTAGCAACACATGCATCTGAGGATCACCCAGCTCTAAAGAAATAATCCAGCAGTCTGGTGCAAACACACTTTTTACCTCAGCAAATGCCTTCATGGAACAGCTTGGTGCAGCAATACTGTAAGTGCAATTTGCCCGCTGATGAGTTACACAGAATTTGGAAGACACCAATGTACACAGTGCTCTTCTGCTCACTTTCCAGATTTGTTTCCTTTACACTGCCAGAGCTGAAGCTAATACCAACATCTGTGCCAAGGGTCCTTAGCCCTCCCAACAGTCAAGAGGGGACAGCAGAACGGTTCAGTTTGACGTATAGAACACATCCATGGACGTATGGGTAGCATGCACATTTTGAGATTAATTCTGATCACATGTTCAACTGTACATGACCCTGAAAGATGGTGAGGGCATTTGGTTGCTAGGACATGGAAAAGGGCAGTTAGAGAGTCTGCTTCTTCCAAGACACTTCTGCACAATGTGCATGCCTCAGACTGAACCTTGCAGATTACCTGAAACTGAAATGGATGAAGCTTGCTAGCACCTGTCTAATACCATCTACCTATTACATGTCAACCACTCCTCTGCCCCACACCCAAAGATCGCAGCAGGAGGTACTCAGCAGAGATATGCAGGTTGATAATGTTCCTCACATTTTCCAGTTTTACTCTTTTGGCCTTAATTTTAACGTTCATAGCCATCACCACTGACTGGTCTGACTTTTTAGAAAAGGAGCCACAAATGATGGTTAGAGCAGAAAATGGGAATCAGGATTCCTGCATGCTAATCCAAGCTCTTCCCCCAGCTCTACATGGATGCAGGCAAGTCAATTAACTTCCTGGGTCTCAGTTCACCCATCTGTAAAATGGGTATACTTATGTACTATACAGTGATACTGAGGGGTTTGGGGGTTAAAAAAAAGCACTTCAGGAGTCTCCAAGAAACACTAAAAACATAACTACAATTGCAGTGATGAGTGTTCTATTAAACAGGCGATTCAAGAAGACAATCTGTCTCAGACAGCATCCTCAAAAAAAGCCTGATCACTTTGGGTACTTCTCCTGTTGGTTAAATACATGTCCATTCTTGGCAAGACATGCAAACAACCTAGGCGTGCAGAACCCCAGCCAGGTCACCATCTTACCTGGTTGGGACAAAGGGAGGCACCTCCTGCTCCACTACCGTCTGTTGCCAACGCTGGCAAAAATTGGCCACACAGGCAGGGGAAGCGGCCGTTGGAGGCGTACATGCTCTCTCCTCCTGCCCCCCACCATGTGGGCTCTTCCGGCTGCAGCTGCCAGCCACCTGCCCCTTCCTTCCCCCCCAACTCCCTGCCATGCAGCTCTTCTGGCCCCGGACCCCAGAGCTGCTGCGGCTCAGCAATTGGGAACTGCTAAGCTAGGGAACTGCCGGAACTCACCATGGCCCTCTTGCCCCACTGCATCATGGCTGGCAGGAGGCAGCTTCAAGCTGGCTATGCTGACGCTGTCACTGGTGGGAATGCCCTTCACACAGACGTGGCCAGTTACCAGCCACTACCTATTGCTGCTGGTGTACTTGCATGGCCCCACCTCCACAATATCCAAGTGTTCCACAATCTGTAAGGTCTTGGTCCTCAACGTTCACGGGAGGCAAGGCGTGCTGATCTCTCCACTTTTCACAGATGGGCAGTTGTGGCACAAGAGTTAAATGATTAGCTCAAGATTGCAAAGAAAGTCTGACACAGAGTAGCACACTGAACCTGGCTCTCCCAAGACTTAGGCTAGTGCCATAACCAGCAGACTAGAGAATCTGTCCAGTTTCTAACTCGGAAACACTGCATGTTTAAACGACAGAGTTGCACGCATTTGCAGTTCCTCACCTGACAAGCACACATACAGACTGCACAGAGCTCTGCTCACCTGTCAGGATAGTCTGGAAAGCAGCTTCCACATTCGTAGAGTCTAAAGCAGATGTCTCAATAAACGACAAGCCATTCTTTTCTGTGTGGGCAGAGAGATCACAAGTTTCAGTGCAGGCGCTGCACGAGGGTTTCCCATCAAGCAGTCCTTCTGTGTCAGAGACCAGATGGATTGCACTTCCTGTTGAAAACCTCATATGCCAATATAAGTGTAGTTATGAACACAAAAGTTCTCTCTTCTAAAGGGTGAAAGGAGAAGAGTTGCAATGGAGACGGATCTGTCCCCTTAAGGATAGCAGAGTCTGGGGATGGAGGGTCAGCCAAGCCTTGCTTTGTAGCAGGACTCTGCTGAAGTTTGGGAAGATGTGAGGTAACACGTGGTGCCGTTCCTTTAAGGGTGCAGGACCATGAAGGGAGAAACCAGCAGGAAAAGGTTACTGCCCAGGTAGTATATGAGAAGAACAAAGGTCAGAAGAGTCATCTGGGGAGAAGCTGGCTAGAGACCAGAGCTGGCCTGAATTAAGGAATGCAGCCCTCTTTGTTGGGCTGTGGGCTCCTGTGCCAAGGGGAGGGCTGGGGAACCCCTGCACCTAAAGGGAAGGTCTCTCTGGGCACAGACCAACTTAAGTTACACCCTAAAAGAAGGGGAATATTGTTTAAAAAACTCTGAGTGAGGGTGGTTTATTTCTCAACTCCGGGGGAGTGAGAGAAGGTGAGGGAGCCATGCCTGCAGGGCCTCCCCATATCATGAGGGGACACTGACATGGCAACTTTTTCAATAATATTGTGCTGACACACTTGGATTTGTGTCTGACTTAAGTGAGGTGGAACTTGGGGGGGTGCACAAGACAAATCAGACTCTTGAAAGAGGTCAAGTGTCCGGAAAGGTGAAGACACACTCCTTTAGAGCACTTCCACAGAGCGTGGGAGGGAAGGAGCTTCTGGGATTATTCCTCACCTAGTCCCCTTTCTCCACCCCGCCACAGCAACATTATGACATGAGTTAGTGATGCTTCTAGAGGGCTAAGATTAGGGAGCCATTCCAGTGTCGCGCAAAGGAGAGCTTGCTACTCAAACTCTCTCCCAAGATATATGGCACCTCACTTCAATGCCACCAGAGCACTGAGGTGCAAGTCTCTTCAGGCAAGGGGTGACAATTCAATGAGTGGAGGGACACGGAATTGGTTTTAGTTCTTTTACATTTGACTTCCATGTTCTTTCTTCCATTCTCTCAGCCTCATGTCTGGATGTTAAGTGTTACATGGAAAGGGGAAACCCTCCTGCAAGCATCTCAAAGCTGCCCCTGATTTTCATTTAATTTAATAAGAATATCTGTGTCAGAGGGGAATGAGCCCCAGGAGTTCTGAGACCAAAACTGCAGCTTCCCAGTGTCCTCTACTTGCAGGCAAAGATATTTTCACTTGACCACAAGCAGCATTCAAGCACCTGTATGAATCAGTACCTATTATTAATTCAGGGGACTCAAATCCACATTCTAGTACAATGTGAAATTTATGTACAGTGCTAGTACAATTTATGAAAACAATGACTAATCCTGCAGGTGAGCCCAGAATTTAATTGCACGTGACTGTGCAATGATTACAGTTGTCCCGTAAGTTTTTGAGACAAAAGCTCTTATTTGATTAAAAGGTCTTACCAGTTGAGTTTGATACCTGCTTGGGGAGAGGCCTACAACAGCTGAACAATCCAGGTCTGTGTACTCGCCTTCTTCCCTGCTGTGTCTACAGTTGTAAGTCTAAATAAAGCACAGGCTGTGGGGATCACAGACTAGAGGGGCTCTGCTTCCCCAAACGGTCAGGTGTGGGCCCACCCCCAGCAAATCCCCTCCTCCTCCTGTCCTACTTGGCAATGCCTGCC